AGTAGTTCTGAAGATCAATTCATACATGTCCCAGGCTTTGAACAGAACTATCTTCGCAGTAGTAACTCTTCTCGGCCCGTAGTGGTTAGTAGCCCCTCATCCTTCACCGAGAGTGATTCTTTTCGAGGATGGGATGATGTGGAGAAACAAAGTGATAGGGTTTCAGTGGACCTATGCAAGGAAGTTCAATGTATTGATACGGAAGAAGAAGAAGAAGAAGAAGAAGACGAAGAAAAAGAAGACGAAGAAGAAGAAGAAGCAGAAGAAGAAAAAGAGGAAGCGGAAGAAGATATTGGTGAAATACTTGAAGAAAAAACCATAGCAAGAATTTGTGTTGGAGATATAGGGGGAACAGATAGGGGAACTATATCTTCTCCACTTGAGGAAGATAATGTATTGCCAAAAGTTCCCTTGAAAGTAGAGTGTGGATTAGGATTGGTATTACTCTTTCAGGATGAAGAAAAACAAGTGCTTCCATCATCAGTTGGCGAGAGAGAAAGTTATCCAGTCAAAGAATTGTCACCACAGGAGATGGCAACAGATTCACCTGACTTGAGATTAACTATAAGTAGAAGCTGTGAAGAAAGTCTAGTTAATGACCCATCCTCTCCAAGGAATGAAGAAGTAGAACACCCTCAAAGTACAACACCTTGTTGTCTGGAGAGGAATCTGAATGTAGAACCTCTGGCTATTGAAATGGAAGTTTCTTCGTTCGACTCTGGAGCTAATGTAGAAGCATCTAAAGAAGAGCATTATGTTCCATCTGCGGATAGTGATGATGGTATTCAGCTTGAACCATCACAGAAAGAGAACTCTTCCAATGACAATAGTGGTGATACATGTGATGAAGAGACTAAGGAAATGGCCGTTGTCCCTCATGATGAAGTAGTCTCTCATTCAACTGTGGCAGTAAGTACCACCCTTAAACCCTAAAATACGCTCATCTACAAATTGTGTCTAGAAGTGAAAGGACAAAGACAAGATAATTATACAAGATAACTACCATAGTACCATAGGACTTTTATTTGTACACATATAGCTGCCTTGACAGCAGACATTTTGTAGTAAAGTGATCCAGCGGAAACGGTGTGGTTGAATTTGTTTAAAGAAGAGAGAAGCAGTATCAACACATATTTATTTTTTAAAAGGAAAGACAAGATAATTTATATGTGTTAAAACTCGTAATCTGAAATATGTATTATGAAGCATAAAATGGGGTGTGGGGGGTAATCGTTGTTCCATTTTCTATTTTTCGCAACTACTATCACATTAGAAGACTAAATGACCTTTCCTTAAATCAGTTTTTCCCTAAATTTTCATCTTCTCATACTTTTTTCATTTTTTCTACACTAAACACAACTCCTAAAATTTTACTCATAGATTCCATGAACAGTCTATGTAGCAACTAAATGTGAACAAAGGGAGTATGATTTTCCATGCACCAACAACAACCATGATTTTCCATGGTTGAAAAAAATTAATCTTATATTAGTTGTGGTCATAATTTTTCAGTAAAATTTGTGTTGTAAATACGAGATTGCATTAGTTATTATTATAGCTCAAACAGAAGCATTTCCTATGTTGCTTAATTAGTCTTAACCTGTTTCATCATTTTAGTTTAGCCAAAATATCTGCAAGTTCATGATGTATAAGAGATAAACTGGAAGCGATATTAATTTTGTCAAATTACCCAAGGACATGCAGCATATTTATGGATTTATATTCTTGTGGTTAGAACTTGATTCATTTTGGAAGTGTGAATTTCTATGTTTCTGTGCTACAGGTTAAGGAAACTGATGAAGAAGCAGATAAACCACCATTGAAGACCGTCAAAGATGTCGGCTTGGATCCAATAGAAGATGAAGTCAAAGGTCTTACAAGTTGGCCTTCAGAGTTCAAGAGACTCCAAAAAGAGATAATTGAACTGTGGCATGCTTGCCATGTTTCACTCGTTCACAGGACGTATTTCTTTCTACTTTTCCGAGGTGATTCTGCTGATGCCCTCTATATGGAGGTAGAGCTGAGGAAACTCTATTTCCTCAAGGACACGTTTGCTCGTACGAAGAAGAAGACAGTTTTCAATGGGCGTATCCTATCACTTGAGCAAAAGTAAGCTTTGCAATCCCAATATGAAAACTTTTTCTCATTCACTGTGAGTCTTTAACACACCCTGGAAAACTTCTGGTGATAAATAAGCCAAGCTGATCCTAAATGGGTTGCTTAAACATTTGATGTCAAATAAACAAATAACCTGACTCCAATCAGATTAGGATTTTCTACCATATTAAATTAGGTCTAACTTACTAAAATGTTGCTCAAATATGTGGTCTAATGTACACTTATGTATTAGGAGCCCGTTTGGTAACAATAAAATTATTGGATGTGTTGAAAAGGCTTAATCTTTTAAATTTAGAAACATATGAAAAATTGAAATGGTTCTCCTCAGCCAATTAAGCTAAAAAAGTACATTCATTAATAATTGGTTGACAAGGCCACTAAGCCAAAATAACAAGATTACTAAACGGGCACTGCATATGTATATGGTAAACATTTGATATGGGATACTTAACAAACGAGTATGTTGTTTTTTAGCATTAAGGATCTTCAAGTGGAGAAGAAGATGTTGACTAAGCAAATGCTCAAGAAGCTAACAGAACAAGAACGTGAAAGCCTCTACCTGAAGTGGGGAATCACACTTCATACAAAACTTAGGAGGGCTCAATTGGCTAACCGGTTATGGAGCAGGACGGATAATATTACCCACATCACTGACAGTGCCTACGTAGTTGCAAAGCTCGTTGGGTTTATGGACATCGGGCAGGCTCCCAAGGAAATGTTTGGACTCGACTTTGGATCTCGTGCTTCTCCAAACTACTATAGCTTCAAACGCAGCTTGATTTCTCTTTTATAGTAAAACCGTGTGTGAAGGAATGTATATTTTCTCAGGTTGATATATGATTATGATGTTACTATAGTGGCCTTCCTTGCCTTCGTTCTGTATATTAACTGCATAGAATATTATACTCCCGGTACATCTGTCTTGGTGAGTGAACCATTATATAGTATATCAATTAAAAGTTCACTAATTTATTTTGGCCTCACCAATTCTGAACTGAAGAGACTTATTTCACCAAGTTAATTTCAATAAAGCTTCGCATCTGGGCAGGGTTGCTGGTCGCACAACTGTTAGTCTTCTAGAGAGCCAGACAAACTGAAGTTGTCAAAGTTGGCAGACTCAAGTAGCCAATGGATGCTAAAACCTGTTGATTAAATTGTGTATAGACAATTATGACAGGAGGGAGATATTGGAACTTATAGCAGTTTTTTAGGTATAGAATGTATACTCAAATACACTTTCATGATTTCATGGATGAAACTGTTTGTTTTCTCTTTACTTGTTTTCTTCAATATTTTTGCATAAAAGCATCAAAAATCTGCAGCAAATATCCTCCTGCTTAAGAATGAAAGCTTCTGCCCAATCTGAAACGGAGTGATAATGTTGCACAGGAAGATTCCATTTCATCATCCCCAAACCTCCCTAGCAACCAGACAGGTACTGAACACATGGATGGCAGGCTCCCTCTCTTCTGCACAAAGACAACACACCTGCAAAGTTGCCACCTTCTTCAAAATCAGCTTGTGTGAATTTGGTAAACAATTTCCACATATTTGCCAGAAAACTATTCCACCTTTCACCTAATCCCTTTACTTGATAATCCTTTCCATCAAAAGCTATTCATAAGTCTTTCAATTTCTGAGCACACATATCTTGAGGCAGCAGAAAGGTATGTAAGATAGGTTATGTAGGAACCATGATTTAAGAAGGATTTCCCACCCCGCCCCATCTACGTACCCACCCCCAAGCCACAATCCTCTACCTAGGGGTGGTTCGGCAAAACCTAAAATTGAAACGACAAAACCCTAACCATAGTCCATAAGCCTTTCAAACCGAACAACAAGAAAATCGAAACCAAATTCAAAAAATCGAACCAAATTGTAGTTGTTTGGTTTTGGTTTTCACCAAATCGAGCTTTTTAAAACATGTTATTTATTTAATAGTCACCAGGTATAATATTTTGTTTACTTCTTAATTCTTAATTCAAGAAAGTTAATGTTCTATATTAGATTTATTATGATTTGCAAGATATTGACATTTGATACCTATGGTTTAATTAAATAAAACATGTGCACATACACTTTAGTCTATAATACTAATATGATGATATTTTAAATCATACTCCCTTCGCCCCTTTTTATTTAGCCTAATATGACTCTTCAAGTCAATGATGTTAAGCTTTGATAGATAATATATTTAAACACGGTAGTATTGATAATATGAAAATGATACGAAAATATTCTTTGTTAAAAGTATTATCAAAGTATAAATTTATTAATTTTCACATAAATATATTATTTTAAATGAAGGATCAAAGTTTACTATTATTGACTGGAAAAGTCAAATATGGCTAAATAAAAAGTGAGGAAAGTAATAATGTATATTTTGCATGTTATTGCATGACAATGATATTTTGTTGTTGTATTATTAAAAAGTACTTTAATTTTATTGAAAGTAATAAAAAGTGAGGAAACTGAAGTTAATCAGAAAAATTTGCTTTGGTTTGACATTTGGTTTTAGGTGAAACTCAACCATTTGATTTTACCATTGCCCCTCACTCCAGTTTGATATACAGCATCAAATGACTTGGTGTCTCTCCCAATTTCAATTTTAATTTGGTTCCATTTAATATGATTTGGAAGAAATGCTTCCAAATTCAAATTGAATTGTATATGTGATAGGATCAAGGTGCCCAACCCTAACTACAACGATCTACATTGATATAGTCATTTCAATCATTCTAAATGTTCCATAATGAATTTGGCACTTGTCTTACTCCAATTTAATGACAAGAAAGTAATGAATTTCTTACTAGTTGTATAAGTAAGAAGAATTTTACTTTCTAACACGTGCCATCAATTTCTAATATAGTGTAACCTAAACGGTTCCATTTCAACTGAATTCTATTTTCCCATTTTGCTACTACGATTGAAACGTTCCCACCGTGATGGCTACCGGCGGCAGTGACAACATCGGTATCAGATCCGAACCCACCGTAAACGGCACGGAAATGCCTTCCCCAACTCCGGCGACACTGCAAAAGCCGCGCAAAATTGCTCTGATCACTGGCATCACTGGCCAAGATGGATCCTACCTCACTGAATTACTCCTCGACAAAGCCTACGAGGTCCACGGCCTCATCCGCAGATCTTCCAATTTCAACACGCAGAGGATCAACCACATCTACATCGATCCTCACAATGCCAACAAAGCCCGAATGAAGCTCCACTACGCAGACCTCACAGACGCTTCCTCTCTCCGCCGCTGGCTGGATATCATCCTTCCGGACGAGGTCTACAACCTCGCCGCCCAGTCGCACGTCGCCGTCTCATTCGAAATCCCCGACTACACGGCAGATGTCGTTGCCACCGGCGCGCTCCGCCTCCTCGAGGCCGTGCGGTCACACATCTCCGCTACAGGCAGGTCCCACATCAGGTATTACCAGGCAGGATCATCGGAGATGTTCGGATCGACACCGCCGCCGCAGTCGGAGACCACCCCTTTCCACCCTAGATCCCCCTACGCCGCATCTAAATGCGCGGCTCATTGGTACACCGTGAATTACCGCGAGGCTTACGGGATCTTCGCCTGCAACGGCATTCTGTTCAACCACGAATCCCCCAGACGGGGCGAGAATTTCGTGACGCGGAAGATAACCCGAGCAGTTGGGCGCATCAAGGTGGGGCTCCAGAACAAGCTGTTCCTGGGAAACCTGCAGGCGTCAAGGGACTGGGGGTTCGCAGGAGACTACGTGGAAGCAATGTGGCTGATGCTGCAGCAGGAGAAGCCGGACGATTACGTGGTGGCCACAGAGGAGTCTCACACAGTACAGGAATTCCTGGAAGTAGCGTTTGGCTATGTGGGGCTCAAGTGGAAAGATCACGTGGAGATTGACAAGCGTTACTTCAGGCCAGCAGAAGTGGACAACCTGAAAGGGGATGCGAGCAAGGCGAAGAAGGTGCTGGGTTGGAAACCCAATGTGGGATTCGAGCAGCTAGTGAAGATGATGGTGGATGAAGATGTGGAAATGGCTAAGAGGGAGAAAGTGCTTGTTGATGCTGGATACATGGATGCCCAGCAACAGCCTTAAGAATAATAATAACAATCTCACCTTCTCAATTCACTACCCAAAGAGGGTTAGCTATGTATAATCAATACAGTTTGCTGTTTTGTCCTCCTTTTCCCAAACCAATCTGTTTTTCTTTTAATTTATATTTATATTTTTGAGATGATATATCTGGAGGATGTCTTCAATCAAAATTACATGGATTCATTTAACTGCAATTAATAAAAAGCTTTTCAACTTTTGATGTCTCTTCTTGTTCAGGCTTTAGAGCTGCTCATGACTATTATTAGGCTTGGACATGGCCCCCCTCGCACTAGAGCTGGGTCAATTTTTTTGCCTGTGACAAAACTGATGTTATAGTCTTAAATGGGTCTGTTTTCAGATGCCCAAAATAAGTGCCAGCCATTTCCAGTACTTTTTTTAAATAGATCACGAATCAGGCAAGAAACTAAGCCAGAACTAACTATATTCTATCAGAGCCAGAACCAAACTGGTATTACCCATTCTGTACCCAACAAGACTTTCCAAACACAACCAAATTAGATGCCACAAATCGCACTAACACCTCCTGTATTGATAGAAGAAGAAAATAAAACAGTATCTGAACACAACTAATTTCAAGTACATAGCATAATGGGAAGAAAAAACACCGAGTGCAAGTATTAGTAACAGTATCTGCAGAGTCTATTATCCTCTAAAAATGAGTGGCACATCTGTATGGAGGTGAGATATGGGGAAGTTACATTTGGTGTTACATAAGGAAAAGTATAATAAGTAAAAAGTTATGGCCCGTAATTGGTGTCAGTTTGTAAAGAAGAAGCTGATAAGTGAGCATCTACTACGTTTTCAGAGGCTGCTGTAAATGGTTTGACAGAAGATCGAAGCACTTCTGGTCCTTCCTCATCAATCCTCTTGCACAATGCATCGCAATTGCTGATTAACTCAGTCAATCTCCCCTTCAATTCTCCAAGTTCCACCTGCAATGAATGCACTGCCAATGTGCCCTCCAGTGAGAAGTATAGCACAAATAGTATAGATGAATACTTAAAGCTTTGACAAGAAAGGCATTTTCTTTTGTCCCCACTGGCATAAATCATGTGATTTACCAGAGATTTCCATTTCCATATATGATAATTGTTACCTCCTGAGAGATGTTGTGATGTAGCTTTCATTGCTGAAACTGAATAGTTGTATCGCTGTTGAAGCTTAATTGCAAGTGCATCTGCCACTTCTATTTTATTATCTATCTCTTCCTGCATCAGTCACCAAAGAGTCAAATAGTTATTACAGATGGATTTCTTCTCATAGAAAAAATCTATGAGAAGAAATGTACCGTAAATGGTTTGACAGTAATTGGTTCAACTACTAAGATGCACCAGGGTGTACCGCAAGTTTTTGTATTCCATAAAAATTGTGCCTAAATGGGATTAAGGGCTTGTTTGCAACCAATTAAAAAAAGTGATTTTGGCTTTTTTTTCAAACACTACCAACTTTAACTTCCTCGATTTTCATGTAGAATCTACTTTTTACTTTTTCTATTACACAAAAAGCACTTATTTTACCAAACACTACCAACTTTTACTACTAATCACTTTTTCCCAAAAAGTGCTTTTATTTAAGCACAAGTGGTTGCAAACAGAGCCTAAATATGGTATGGACTTTTTGAGGCAAGTTTTTTTTATGAGTTTTACGGCAAGTTATCAACTTTACATGAAACTCTATCATGAAAAACGAGTAAATAAATTATAGCTTTAGAAACTGGCGCATGACCACTTATTGTATGGCTGTACCCCTAAGACTTACTTCCAAGATTGCATGGAGCAATTCACAAAAAAACACTTGTCTCAAAGTAATTTTACTTTTAAATTTTGAATTTACTTTAGAAAACCAGACTCTTTGTTGGGACAAAAATAGGTCTGGAAAAAGAGCATATATGCAAATGCTTTATGCCTGTTTTGAAATTAAATGGGGCAATACAAGTTAGAATAAAAAGAGTTTTGAAGAGTTTTCTGTCTCTGGTCAAAAGAACCTCCCAAGGATGTGTACAATCACGCATCCAGACAAGAGAAAACAGTAACTATTAATCAGCCAGCTAATCTATTGTTTAAAACTCCTGAGTTCTCAAGGTCTCTCTGTCTCACTCACTCTAGATATGAATCTGGAAAAGGTCAAATCCTCTGTCTCCCATATCACCCACACCAAGGAAAAAACAGGCTTATTGAGATGCTTAGGTGTGTGAGTGTGTGACGTCTGTGTGTGTGACAAACCTGTTTTTTATTGATCTTCTGAATCTTATCCTCTTGCCAATTACGGTACATGCAAAAGAGATCCAGTAGCACTTTTGGGTCTAGGCAACCTATCACAAGCACATACCATAAGTATAGGCGTTCAATCCTGGCCAAAACAAGTGTTATCTTTTTTTATGAGTATATTTTGTTATACCATACCAAGGAGAGCCAAATGAAATGGAAACAATCAACTTTAGCAAGAGAAAACTTAAACATAACCACTACAATACTAAGCATTACACAATCATTGTCAGTAGCTTTTTCACAACCCCGAAGTCCTCCTTTATGAACCATTTCCGGTGACTCTCCCGTCCTCCCTCACAAAATTACATGAACGGACCCCTGGTATGTCCTAAAATTGCTTCGTTAAGTTATAAAATATAGAGACAAAAATATTTCCATTGCTGGTTTCTGACCAGAACATAACAACAGGGTACAGCTCCTGATCAATTCTAATTAGTGTTATCCTCTTGAGTACATAATAGATATGAATGGAAAATAATATTTAAATAGAATGCACTGCATAAGATCATTATGCTGCCTCTTGAAATCATAGTTGAATAAAATAAATGTGATCAAAGTGGGATGACCCTATGGTGTCTACCGGACCACAAATAAGTATTCATTCATAAATAAGAAACAGAACATTAATGAAAATGGATATTTTGAGGTTGTTCACTTGCTCTAAGGATTATGGACATTTGATGTGGTTCATTTATTGCTATAAAATCGAGTACAGGCTTAACCAAAATCAAGCACGAATGTTAGAAAGTATCACTGAAGGAAATATTCCACCTCAAGTTTAATTACGTATACATATTCCAAACAAGAAGAGGAACTGCAGAGAATATTTAATTAAATACCTGAATTTAAAGCAGATGGCGTCTTTCTCACCAGAATATCTGTCAAACTACTATCTGCAGGTGGCGCCGTCAGGATTGGTTTGGACTGCAAAAACAAGTTCAAATGAATTTCACACATTTGAACTCAACATCAGTTTAACTAACAGACCAAACCTGAAAAACCTAATGAAAGCTCACGATTTGGAGGGACCTCAGCCTCTCCAGGATCGGATCTGCACTTTCTACGCGCTCCGAAACCGTTGTAATATCATCGACGGACCTCTAAATCACAAAAACGCAAGATTACGGAGAAAACGTCAAATTCAATAGTGAGTTCAGAGGCTGAACAAGATGATCTACCTGTGAGCTTGAGAGAGCCGACTCGGATGCACCCATAGATGAGGTTCGTTTCAAGAAAGCCGTCTTCACTTCGGAAGATGGAGTGTGGAATGTGGAAACTGTCGCCCGTTCACTGGCGTAATTCAACCTAACCGATCGAGCTAGAGTAGCCAGTTCTGTCACCGTGAGAACGCCAACAATGCGGGTCGGGTTACGTTGCCAAATCCGATATCCGGACCCAAATTCTTTTTTCTTTTATGCAAAAATATCCGTTTCTACTCTTTTTTGTGCGTATCCTATTTTATCTTTGTACGTGAGTCATGTGTGTAAAGATAGATGTATAAAACAATGTACCTCTGATATCCTTTTTTGTGCATAAGTTGTGTGCACAAACAAGGGCATAAAACAGTGTACACCCAACAACACCCTTCTTTTTTAACCTTGTATGTTCAAAAACTCAATTGTGAGGTTGAAGATCAAGATAATATTTTAATTACTTATTTACTTCTATATTTGAAATGTCATTAATAATTACTACGGGGTATATAAAACGTGATAAAAACAAATGTAGGTATTGTTTGAGAAAAAATATTTTTGGAAAAGTAAGAGTTAGTTTTTGGTAATAAAAAAAACGAGTGGTAGAAAAGGTGAAAAATAGTTTAAAATTCTCTTTCTCGTGTTTTCATTTAAATTTAAAATACTTAATCTAAGTAGAAAATAACTGTTTGAAAACACTACAGAGTATTTTTAACTTTTAAAACTATAAGTTGAAACCCGTTTTTATAAGCAATGCAAAACACTCCCTAAAATACAAATCGCTGGAGTGTGAATTTCAAATTATTTGTAAGACACAAGTAATCGACACTAACTCATTAAGCTTGTATATTCATCATAAGTATATGAGAGTAGTCAATAATTGGTGAACACCTTGAACAAAGCGTCAACCTCAACTGATTAAGCGTTACCTGAGAGCACATTACTATTCTTTTGACATCGTAAAAAAATTTCACATCATCAATTTTAAAAGCGTGAGAGGATTTAAGTCTCCAATGGATTCTTTTATGAGTTCTTTTATGCTGACATAGAGCAAACACTTTCAATTCTTCTCTTGAAATCTCCAAAGTATGTTTAACACCATGATTCAGCCAAAATCAAGAGCAATACTTTCAATTTCAGAAAAAATAGTGTGCAAATTCCGAAATAATAATAGCATAACTGTGTAGCAAAGGAAGCTTTAAATCGCATCGCTTCCCATTCCGTTGCTCCATGCTTTTAGTTCATTTATAGTTTTATGTATATACATATATTGTATAATTTTATATAAAATATAATATATATAGAAGAATGTTGAGGTCCGAACATTCCTGGTCCGAACACCGTCCGAACATGCCCGTATGTGGCCCTTCCCGGTAGAATTTTTTGATGAAATTTTTTGAGCATGTTCCTCATCAAGTCTAGTTTGTCCATACCAAATTTCAGCTTAAAATTCGATCGGGAAGGCATTCAAATCATTTTTTGAAGTTTACTGTGTTATATGTATATTTTGATGCATAGAAATGATCCTGTCTAGCCGGAGGGACAAGAGCCGTCGTCCGGCCGCCGCCGTTTGGGGCGGTTCTCGATGGAATTTTTTGATGAATTTTTTTGAGGATGTTTCTCACCAAGTTTAGTTTATCCACAAAAAAATCGATCGGGAAGACTGTCAAATAATTTTTTGAAGATAACTGCGTCAAATTATACTTATAAAACGCAATTATTTTCCTAAAAATTGTTTGCCTGTCTTCCCAATCAAATTTTAAGCTGAAATTTTTTGTGGATAAACTATACATAATGAGGAACAAGCTAAAAAAATTCATCAAAAATACCACTGGGAACAACCCCAAACAGCAGGGGCCGGACGGCGCCTCTTGTCCATCTGGATGGACATGATCTTTTTCCAATGTGTGTGTAATTTTTTGGAAGTTTGATCCCGGGACTGCATGGGACCCTTAGTCGGTCCGCGACTGATAGTAGTATGTGACTTAAGTGATGGTTAGGCCATCTCCAACAGTTAACACCATTTTTTACACTAAAATGGTGTAAACATCACATCAAACAGTATTTTATCTCCAACGGTTTACACCATTTTTATCACAAAAAAGGAATATTCTCTTTTTATTCTTTTTACTAACTTTTTACCATTATTCTATTTAAGTATCTAACTATCTTATATTTATACATTAGCCCCTCATTTAATATTTTGACATTTCACACATTATTTCACACATACAAACTAAAATACATCATTTTAATATGTATTTTCACGCATTTCACTAATTTAAACACAATAATCAATATTTCACAAATACAAGCTAAAACCACATAAAATTAAACATTACAATAATATTATAATAATTTGTACGTCATTAGTAAAGTACTACTTAAACTTAAAGCAATAGATTAAATAAATATTCATAGTTTAGTTATTAGAATTTGAGAATTGTTCCCACAAATGATCATATAAAGCATTGCGGAGCTCAATATGAGCGTCTTTGTCGTGAATTTGGTTATGTCGGCTAAGAAATTGAGTGAACCGTGCCGCCTCATCAACTGCCACTTCAACATCTGGAACTGATGTATCTCTCACATCTTCAACTGGTGCATGTATATCACGTTATTCATTGTAATTTTAATTATGTTATTTTCTTAAGTACCATTTGTTTTCTGTTATTAAGTTGTTTGGATTTGAAACTTTATTTATAATATTGTGTGATTTAAATGTTATTATATTTTTTTTTATCAAATTAATAGTTTTTATAGTTGTTGTATAAGGACGATTTTACTTGGACTGTAATTTGTTTCAGATCAGATCAAACCGGATTAGACCAAACTTGGGTAGTTATAAAAATACAAAGAAATCAGACCAGACCACATCAATTCAGACCAGACCAGACCAAATCAGACCAGACCAACAAATTTCAGTCCAAGTAAAACTTCCTAATTTGCTGTTTTAAAAATGGGTCAAAACTATAATAATCAAAATTTTGGGTCACATTTGAAAGAAAAAAAATTACAAAAAGAGAATGGTGCTACAAATGGTGTACGCCATATATGGCGTAAGGTCATCTCCAACAAGCACCATCTTCAACACCAAAATGGTGTATTTGGCAAAAAAAAATGCTCCAACAATGACACCAAACTTTACACCATTACACCAAAATGGGGGAGGGGGGAAGGCTTTAGGTCATCTCCAACAAGCACCATCTTCAAAACCAAAATGGTGTATTTGGCAAAAAAAATGCTCCAACAATGACACCAAACTTTACACCATTACACCAAAATGAGGGGGGGGGGGGGGGGGGGGAAGGCTTTACGCCATATATGGCGTACACCATTTGTAGCACCATTCTCTTTTTGTAATTTTTTTTCTTTCAAATGTGACCCAAAATTTTGATTATTATAGTTTTGACCCATTTTCAAAACAACAACTTAGGAAGTTTTACTTGGACTGAAATTTGTTGGTCTGGTCTGATTTGGTCTGGTCTGAATTGATGTGGTCTGGTCTAATTTCTTTGTATTTTTATAACTACCCAAGTTTGGTCTAATCCGGTTTGATCTGATCTGAAACAAATTATTGTCCAAGTAAAACCGTCCTTATACAACAACAATAAAAACTATTAATTTGATATAAAAAAATATAATAACATTTAAATCACACAATATTATAAATAAAGTTTCAAATCCAAACAACATAATAACAGAAAACAAATGGTACTTAAGAAAATAACATAATTAAAATTACAATGAATAACGTGATATACATGCACCAGTTGAAGATGTGAGAGATACATCAGTTCCAGATGTTGAAGTGGCAGTTGATGAGGCGGCACGGTTCACTCAATTTCTTAGCCGACATAACCAAATTCACGACAAAGACGCTCATATTGAGCTCCGCAATGCTTTATATGATCATTTGTGGGAACAATTCTCAAATTCTAATAACTAAACTATGAATATTTATTTAATCTATTGCTTTAAGTTTAAGTAGTACTTTACTAATGACGTACAAATTATTATAATATTATTGTAATGTTTAATTTTATGTGGTTTTAGCTTGTATTTGTGAAATATTTATTATTGTGTTTAAATTAGTGAAATGCGTGAAAATACATATTAAAATGATGTATTTTAGTTTGTATGTGTGAAATAATGTGTGAAATGTCAAAATATTAAATGAGGGGATAATGTATAAATATAAGATAGTTAGATACTTAAATAGAATAATGGTAAAAAGTTAGTAAAAAGAATAAAAAGAGAATATTCCTTTTTGGTGATAAAAATGGTGTAAACTGTTGGAGATAAAATACTGTTTGATGTGATGTTTACACCATTTTAGTGTAAAAAATGGTGTTAACTGTTGGAGATGGCCTAAAGCCTTCCCCCCTCCCCCATTTTGGTGTAATGGTGTAAAGTTTGGTGTCATTGTTGGAGCATTTTTTTTTGCCAAATACACCATTTTGGTGTTGAAGATGGTGCTTGTTGGAGATGACCTTATGAGATATACAATGACCCTTTTCGTCAAACATTTATTAAACATTTTATTCATAATTCATTAGATTTAGGTTTTCAAAAAAAAAAATCATTAGATTTAGAGATAAGGCTTGGATGGTGTTGTGGTATTAGATTTAGCCAAAATTTCAGCAATTTCAACAAACCAGCCGAACATCGAACTTCAACATTACTAACACAAAACTTCCATCAATGTGTCAATGATGTTTAAGAGATGGCTCCACATCAGCTTATCGTGCACTTTATGTTTGCCCTTATGCTACTACTATTTGGAACCATTTTATACTAAAACATTCCTTATACGGAGTGGGTTAAATATTTAATATACAGCTATTTAATGTGATTTTGTGATAAAATTATTCTTTGGTTTATCTGGAAAGTATACTCCGAGGGATATGAACTGACTCCGGATTAAGGTTGATATGGTGATTAAGCAAATTCAGCAGTTCATGAAAACTGTTTTGATGGCCAGTTTATATTGCTGCTGCGCTTCCCTCTTAAGATCTCCTTAAGTCTGCAAGGTGAAGCAATGGTGCTCCCTATCTTGCCAACAGAAAAGATTTTATAAATTGATTCATTGCAGCTTTGGCAGATCATTTTGGCAAACAAACCCTTGACAACTGAGAAAATTATTCAAAACTGTCTTGCCCAATGGCTAATTTGACTGTGTCAATTCATCTAAAATGCAAAAAAAA